CACACACACACACACAGACAGACAGACAGAGAGAGAGAGAGAGAGCTCTGACATCGGAGGCAGCCATGCCGATATTCCCAGCACAGAGAGAGAGAGAGAGAGAGAGAGGGAGAGAGAGAGAGAGAGAGAGAGCTCTGACATCGGAGGCAGCCATGCCGATATTCCCAGCACACACACACACACACACACACACACACACACACACACACACAGAGAGAGAGAGAGAGAAGAGAGAGAGAGAGAGAGAGAGAGAGAGAGAGAGAGAGAGAGAGAAAGAGAGAGAGAGTTTAAAGGAAGGAAAGGTCATTCGCGATCCACGAAAGGGTAGAGGAGGAGGCGAAGTACCTCAGGAGTTGCCATTCTTCTACTGCGCGATGTCCTTACACGGAGCGATAATGGCCGTCCACTGAACGATGACGTGGCGGCGATGGCGATGACGATGGCGATGGCGATGGCAAAGGAACGGCGACTTGAGCAGGACGAAGAAGGACAAGGAGAGGAATGTCAAGGAGGAGACGAATGAGAATAAAAGACCGGATCGAAGGATGAACCTGACCGGTGCTGGGCTGTTGCCGGAGAGAGCGGGAGCGGGAGGTATCCTCTCGCCGCTCACGACGGAAGATCTCTTTTCGCGCGGTCGTGAGCTCTGAGGCCGGCGATGAGCAGTCTGAGGCCAGCGATGGCGAAGGTCCTCGCTCCACTACTTTTGACGTGTAGAAAAGACGAAAATCATGGCGGTGTATCTCTCCATGTTCCAGCGAAAGATTCACTCTCGTTTTGCACATTTCGAGAGTACTGCACCGTCGAGGCCCGAACTCGCCAGCGCCTTTTTTTTTGTTTTGTTTGTTTGTTTTTTTTGCAGTCCTTTCGCGACAACTGCTTCCCCCCCTCTCCCGCTCTTTTCGGCCTTGAGAAATCATCGTTAAACTGACCGGCCCCAGGTAATTCAGGGCGTACTACTAGGTCTTTTTGGACGTAATTGCGGTCAGGTGCATCCATCGCCGTTGGAAAGCTCGTCATATACATTCTGGAAAGTCCTAGCGTAGTGTGAGTATGCCCTCAGAGTTCTTCGCACTCATCTCTCAGTCATCTTTTTTCTTTTTCTTTTTTTTTTGTTTTTTGAATTGCAGCTTTATACCACTAGTACCTTTGCCGCTTGGAAAATAGCGGGCCTCGTGTAGGCATCCGACCTTTGCAGCGGCCGAAACGAAACGACGGCCGCCGATCAGATTTATCAATGGCAGTCGTCGTCGGGCCCGACCTCCGAAAATTCAGGCGCTTGGGAAAACTGCCAGTTTTCCCTATTTTCCCCACGCGGGAAAGGTACTAGTGGCTTATTGCTTATCAGTCCAAAAGGAGGCCGGGCATCCCATCTCGACGCCGGCGTGGGATTCCATCTCTGATTGTCGGGGAGGTACTCCATCTCGACAATCAGAGATGGAGTCCCTCCCCGACAATCAGAGATGTAGTAAAAAAAAAAAAAAAAAAAACATTTCAACCCGGTGGAACTGGGGCCATTACCCAGACTACCTTCTTCCCCCGAATACAACGTATGGTCATTATAGCTGTATTTGAGGCATCTTTCAGTCTAGATACAGCTATAATCAGGGGAACAAGGTAGGCTGAAAGCTGGAAACCGGGTCCAGCGTCCCATTATCTGCACCTTAAAAAAAGAATAAACTTGACAAAAAACCTCCAAACAGCAAGAAAGGAACAAGCTACTACTACCAGTTGCGTAGTACTCTGGAAGTATTACCCAGTTTGGAAAAAAAAAGAAAAAAAAAAGTATTACCCAGTGTTCGCTTACAGGACCTACACCTCTGCGACGAGTCTGCTGCTGCTGCTCAGTCTTCCTTGCCATTACTCCCCTAATCTCTTCCTTCTCTCTCTCTCTCTCTCTCTCTCTCTCTCTCTCTCTCTC